ATAGTATAATTTCTGTGATAATTGCAACAACAGGAAAGGGGAGCTTTCTTGGAAGCTGCAAGATGACTAAAATCTATTGGGAAGAGCCAGCAGGCATAACCACACCCTGGCCAGGGAGGACCAGGCACCGTCTGGGTGTGGGTTGGGTGCACCTCTCACACTCCTGCAGCTTCGCTCCCCAATTCCTGCCTGAAGGTGCGAGGAGAGGGAGGGTGAGATGAAGGAATCAGATGTGGTGGCAGTACCGAGTGTCATCCTCCATGTCCTGCCCAGAGGCACCATCCCTTCATGGGACAGCAGTGTCCCTGCAGGGCCAGAGCTGGCAAGGAGGACACAGAAGCAGAAATGGATCCCTGGGGAGCAAAGGGCAGCTCTGACGGTGAGGGGACACGGTGCTTTGATCCTTGTGCTTTAACAGGCCATGGTGTCTGCTGGCTCCTCCACAGCTGCTGTGCTCATCGATCCTGAGCTCCTCCTGCTCACCCAGCCCAGCACTCCAGCACTGCTGATCTTATCTACAGATCTTGGATGCCTGCATGAGGCAACCCAGAGGCATAAGGGAGTTCTCTCCCATCCTGTTGCACTCCCTGTAGGACTTGGCAGCCAGGTGCTGACAGTGCAAGAGGGTGACAAGAACAGGTGTGCACCAAGGAGTCACCACAGCTAGACTGGCTCATCAGGGCTGCTGGGACGTGAGGGCTGGTGTTCTAGGAAAAAGGAAGGATGATGTGGCTTCCTTGGGGCAGCAGGAGCTAGTTCACAAGGCTGTACACAAGGACTCTGAAAGGTTCACCAAACCCCCAAAAATTTAAGTCCCTCGTGCTGCTGATTTACCTTCCTAGTGTGGAGAGCTTGGGGAGAACTTGGGAAAAGCAGAGCAATCCCTTCACACTGCTGGCTCCAGCTGCTTCAGGCTGGATGAAGTTTCTAGCTGTGTCACTGCCACCTCTCCTGTGCAGCCAGGAAAGAGCCGCCCTCAGTCCCTCCAGAGCACCCATCAGCTGAGCCATGAACCTGCCTTTGCTTGCAATTCACAGAAAGCTTCCCCCTGGGAAGCAGCAGGGCCTGGCCCCAGTTCAGACTGTCTCAGCACAAAGCCATGCAGCAGTGGGAAGGCTGGGAACCTAGTGGGGATGGGAAGGACATGGCTGGGAGTGCTTAAATTAGCCCCAGCAAACACATTCAGAAAATATGGCTTTTTAGTTAACGGGGTCAAGAAGGAAAACACCCCATTGCCAGGACTGTCTCTGCCACAGTGAGTGCAGCGGGTGCATCTTCCCCCATCCACTGCTCACCTCACACCTGCTGCAAGGTGCATTTGAGACATCACTTTCTTAGATAGCATTAGGAAAAATAATAATAATAGGAAAAGAGATATTAGCAAACCAAACACATGACATCCATAAGCCTCTGCAGAGCTACAGAGTGAAAGGAGGTGCAGAGGAGAGGAGCCCGGCTGTTAGTCTGTAGACAGACTCTCAGCACGTGGTGGTTTACACACACAAGACGTTGTTAAACAACCGAGCATTATTGCTATGCTTCCATTTCCAGTCTAATCATTAAGCTTTACAAGTCAACATCAAACACTGCCTGTTCCATCCTGAGCACGTTGGTGCTGGCGGTTGCACTCCTGTCTGTGCTGTCAGGTAGGAGCTGTGTGTGCCCTTTGGATTCCCGAGGAGCGCAGAGCACGCACTAAACGCACCCACAGATCCCTGTTACACCTTTCGGGTTAAGGGCTAGCTTACAGTGCAAGAGGGGAGCCTATGACAGCTCCCCACTCCAGGAGGGGAGGGCAGGCCCTGCCTGGGCCCCAGCGGCTCTCAGGCTCCCAGTGGCTCCAGCAGCCCTCTCAGTAAAAAATAGGAATACTGTCTTTTTGATTTTTTTTATCATTTTGATCTCTTTGATCATTTTATATAAATACAAAGATTAAAATAGTTTATCTCAACATTATTTCTATTACAATCATACAGTGTTTTCCCTTCAAAACAAGTGCATGTATGTGTGTGTGTGTGTGTATATATATATATATATATATATGTAAGTGTATATATAGTATCTCTAGAGCTTCCCTCCCCCCCCAGAAAAGCAGCAGTGACTGAAGCAGGTACAGCACGCAGGAGCTGATCCTTCCTGCTCCAAGGCAAATGTGCCCAAGGAAAAGTGCAGGGCTCACCCTGACGACTCATTTCCAAGCACATTACATTGGCATGAAGGGGGGAACTGGGGTGCTCACTCTCCATCCCTCTGGGAACCCCCCTGGCTGCAAGAGGCTCTGCCTGCTCAGCCCGGGGCTCCAGACCTGCCCGGCTGCCTGCCTGCACCAGGAGCACCTGGGGTGGGACAGGCATGGGGGACTGGGAATGAGATCAACTCATTGAGCAAGCTGCTAATTACTGGTGGAGAGGAAAGGGCCCTGAAGCTCAGACAGAGCTGCTTCATTTACATACTAGGCACTACGGATGATGATTGCTAGGAAGGTATTTACATAGGAGAAGGATCATACTCCTCCCTCCACTTTTCAATGCTCAGGTCAGTCATAAACACCATGATCTCATGAAGGTTTGTAATAAAAATGCAACATACTGTGTCTATCAGGATTGTCTGGGAAGGATGGGAAACAGCTGTGCACACCACAGCTGCAGCAACAGCCAAGCACACAGGGACAGGCATTGCCTCTTTCATCCTAACAGAGCAGAGACAAATCCGCAAGCAGAACCTCTCAGAACCTGAGAGAAACAGCAATTTCCAGAGGTCGGTTGCACCTCCAGGGCATGACACTCCTGGAACTGTGATGCTGGAACCCTGGGGCTGCTCGTGGACAACACTGGACAAACCTCCCATTGCTGCCCCTGTGGGTGGGTGACAGCAGGGCCCAGCACACCCAGCTCCCCCTGGAGCTGGGGCTTGGCAGAGCCTGACTGGATCACTGTGCCGAGGGAAACAGGCAGGAAGCATTCTGCTGGGGAGCTCAGGACTTTTCTCCCTCATGCACTGTTCTCAGTGCTCAGAGCCCAGCCAGGCATTACCAGAGCTCCCTGTGCTGCCCTGCACCTGCCGAACCTCCACAGACAACCTGGGCATGTGGAGCTCTGCAGCCACGGCTGTGAGCACCCTGCCGGGGCTCCCTGCAGCCTCCCACAGCTGGCACAGTCTGGGAGGACAGCTGGGGGCTCGTGGGGGCCCTGCACTTCTGAGACAGCAGCTCCAGATACCTCAGGGACTGCAAAAATTTCCCACTAGAGCTTTTGTGCCACAGGAGCTGCACACCTTGGCTTGGCTTCAAGCCAGGCTGCTGCAGGAGCACTGTGAGGGGGACCCTGCCCAGCGTGGCTTTGCTGGGCTCTTTCCTAAACCCAGGGGTGTGTTAGGGACCACGGGAGCAGCTGGGGAGTCCCAACCCGCAGGGGTGCCCTGGGAGAGCAAGAGGGGTCTTGCCCTCTAAAGCCTGACGAGTAACATAACAGCCAAAGGAAAGGTACAAAAAGCAGCTGATTTCTGCCCTGCTAGTGCAGCTCATATGCTTTGGGGCTCTTTTACCAAAGAGCTGGCTTGGCGACTGCTGCTGTGAATCTCATAAAGCATTTTAATACAGTATATAAATATTGAACTACAAAAATAGACAGCTCTGACTGCACGGGCACATTGAGGGTGGGTACGGGCTAGCCAAGTCTCCCTAGTCTATGAGGGTGATGTCTTTCAAGAGGTTTCAAACTGAATTGGAAGGAAATCAGGTCTGACCTCACCCTGCAGCTCCCTCCTGCCCACGCCAGCCGCGGAGGCAGTGAGGGTCCTGCGGGAGGCTGCTGCCCACCAGCCGGGCAGGGCGCTGGCTGCAGGCAGGGGCCGAGTCCCGGCTGGGCCAGCCAGGCTGGCAGCCCACATGCCAGGGTGAAACCTGCCCTTTGGCTTGCCCTGAGCAGCACAGGTCCGGCAGCACCAGAGCAGAAAGACCTTTGCCCTGCCTGGCCGCCAGAGCCTTCCCCTCCTAATGGTGTTTCACAACACCCAGGGAGGGGATTGTAAAGCTGACAGTTTGGTTGGAAATGGGGCAAGGCAGCTCTGTATGGCCGCTGTGCTGGCAAGGATGGGAGGCAATGGGGGAGGACTGGGGGCTGCTCAGCCCTCAGCAGCAAACCCAGACCTGACTGTGGATCTGACTGAGAACCAAAATGCTGGTGCCAAGGAGAGCCCTGTGCAGGGGGCACAGGATGCAGCCCTGCTCCAGCAGCACACGGAGCCCGGCTGCAGCGGCGGAGGAGCCAGGGGGTGTCCAGCAGGACCGCCAATCTCGGCTCTTTTCCAGCTGCCTTGTCCAAGTCCTGCATGCAAACGTGATGAGGAAGAAATCCACGTTGGAGACAGCCAAACTGCTGCACAGGGGAATGTGGGATAGGGCCTGGCCAGCACAGCAGCACTGTCCTTGTGGAAGGGGGTCCCTCTGTCACCCACAGGATCGACCTCGTTCAGCTGCCTGCATTCTGGAGAACCTTCCTGGTGATGTCCTGGGCCCTCTCCAGTGCCTGGTGCCGGTGATGGTCTGGGCTGGAGGCCAGGCTGAGCTCGTCCCACGGTTCCAAGTCTTGTGCGGCACAGCCTGGTGTTGCTGCATGCCACCTCCCAGCACCCGGGCCAGGGAAAGCAACCCGGCGCCCACTCTGAGGGCAGCAGGAGGACGAAGATCTCACTTCAAAATGAGATCTATCTCTCTTTCTTTCCTTGCAAGCTCCGGACAGGCGCTCAGACATGTCCCCTTCACAGCGCGGGTGCCGGATGCTCCCCTGTCCCGCAGCATTGTCGGTAACGTCCCCGGGCCCAGCTATTTCGGGCAGAGGAATCCTCCCTGGCTGCCGGTGGGTGGGAGGTGCGTGCAGGGCTCCGCTTTCGGCTGCCCCTTCCCCTCCGTAGGGCGCGGGGAAAAGAGTCGGCCGGCGCCCGCCCGCTGCCACCGGGCTCAGGCCTTTCCGGCCGGTCGGCCCACGCCGTCCCCTCGCCGCCTACTCCTGGGCCCGGGGGGCACCGTGGGCACCGGACCCCTGCCTCTTGCTGGGCTCGCCCTTGGCCGACCTGGCCCTGGCCGCCGGCTCCTGCGGGGGCTGCCGGGGGCCCCGCTGGCCCCGGGAGGCCGCGGCGGCGCCGGCCGAGGAGCGGGCCGGGCCGGGGGGCTCCGGCGGCGGGCGCTGCGGGCCGTGCGGCCGCGGCGTGTACAGGAACAGCGCTGGGTCGGGCATGGCATCGTGCTCCTCCTGCGCGGGGTCCCTGCACCGGCCGCCGTCTCCGGGCGGGCGCCGGGCGGGCGCCCTGTGGCCGCGGCGCCGGGGCCGGGCCTCGGCCGGGGGCTGCTCGGGGGGCGGCCGCCCGCCTGCCCGGGGGCCCGGCAGCCGCTGGGCCGTGGCGTGCAGCTGCAGCGAGAGGTAGGCGGCCGCCTCCGTCTGCTTCTGCAGCTCGGTGTCGAGGATGGTGACGCGGTGGCTCCTGCGCTTCAGCTCCTCCAGGAACCGGCGCTCCTTGCTGCGGAGGCTGGAGCGCAGCGCAGCCACCAGCGTCTCCTTGTGCTGCAGCTCCTTGCGCAGCTCCAGGTTGTCCTTCTCCTTCTCCTGCAGCTGGGCCTCCATCGCCCGGCACTTCTCCTCCAGCTCGCGGTCCAGGACATCTGTGGGTCAAGGCACAGAGGGGTCAGGAGGGGGAGCTCGGCCCCACTGCTCCTGGCAGGGCCCCACACGCTCCCAACAGGGACGCGGCTGCTGACCGCTGCATGGTGCCAGCCTGTCCCAGCAGTGCCATTGAGGCTGCTCGGGTGCTGTTGGGATCCAGTACTCCCTGTGAGCTGCCCGGGCATGGGCTCACTGCCAGCGCAGGCACAGGAACCCTGGCACAGGCCGCTGGCAGGGCGCCGTGTGTTAACACCCAAATGCGGGGTGAAAGCAAAAGGCAGTTTCGGTGGAGGATGTTGTTGCCATGGAACCTGCTGCCTCTACCTTGATGCAGTTTTAAAATTTCCCTAGGTAAGTGGTTTTTCACCCTAAACGTGACTTTGAATGTGTGCAGGGGGAGTGCACGAGCTGGGACAGAAAAGGAAATGGTGCAGTGAAACCACCAGCCCAACTTTGGAGGAACTTTTGGCCTCAAGCCCCGGGACTCCAAAGCCTGGTTAGTCAGGATGGAGATGCTAATCCAGGATTACAGAGGAGTTGGGCTGTGCTCAGCAGAGAAGGAGCCTCCATCCCGGGAGGGGGGAGCGGGTTCTGGGGAATGCTGTCCTGGGCATGATGGCCAGGCAGCTTGGGGAATTCAGAGCTTGGGGTTGTGGGGCCAAGCCCAGTGGGCAGCCCTGACCCCAGCCCTGGCTGCCTGCTCCAGCACCAGCCCTTGAGAGGGTGCAGGCTGGCACCTGCCCACGCTCCCTGGCCTGCCCAGGCCTGCTCCCATCCTCTGCAGTAATCTGCTTTTTATGATGTGATTGGCAGCTACTTACAGCCTCAGCTCCTCAGTGTTTCTGCAGCTTTATAATGAGGTCTTAGGGAGGCAGTTGCAGGCAGTAATTATTGCATGAATGGCATTAGAAGAGCAATCATTTGATGGCATCGTAAATGAGGTGCTGCCCCATAAACGTGGCAAAGTGATTGTGCAGCTCTAATAGGCTGAAGGATGGGCAGGCACCTGGAGGAGACTGGCTGCATTGTGGCTGGTGACACCTCGATGGCACCTCGTGGGCTGGGCAAGAGGCCCTCTGCCAGCAAAGCCCACGGGTGCAGAGAAGGGACCCCTGGCTCCATGGGAGGGGCTGGGAGTTTGGAAATCTCATGGAACCAGCCATGGCACTGTGTGAGGGTGCCAAGGGCGGGGACCCCGCTGGCTCCGGTGAGAGCAACCCACACCCACACAGGGACCGGCTGCCCTGGCACTGAGGACAGAGCACAGGCTGGGCCTTGGTGCCAGGGGCCGTGCCCAGGCAGTGCCAGGGAGGAGTTTCAGAGCGAGAGGAGCTCACAGAGCTCACAGAGCAGCCTCTGCTGGCCGCAGGGCTCCCGGACATCACCAGCATTCATTGGGCTGCCAGCAGGCTGTGCACGCTGCCTTCCCAGTCCCACCCTCAGCCCCCCTGCCCCGACAGGCAGGGTCCACGTCCCCTCCCTGCAGCCCTGATGGGTCCCCTCTGGCCGCACCCACACCTGCTCCCCCTTCTCTTGTGACCAAAGCTGTGCTCTTACCTTGCTGGCGGGCCTCCATCTCTTTCATTTCCAGGTCATGGGTGAGCTCTGGAAGAGAAATTCAACAGGACTGAGGAGGAGCATCCCGTCCATTCTGTGTTCCCCATGTCTTCCTCCGCTCCCTTTGAGGCACTGGACATCACTGTGGCTGCAGTGCTATCTCTGCCCAGCCCACATGGGAGTGTGGCCACCTGAGAGCAGCAGCCACAGGCTAAGCTAAAAATAGGCAATTCTGGCAAATTAAGCAGCCTCATGGCCAAGACATTGTCTGCAGGAGGTTCTGCTCCTCTGACAATGTCTTTCCTTTTTCTATGAGAGCCGCTGAACCGTTTTTAGTGCTTTAAACCAGGACAAAGAGCAGAGCAATGGATTGCAAATAGACCAAAGTGTAAGCTGTCACCCAAAGCATTTCGTAATTTACTGCTCCAGGCTGATCGCTGCCTCTGCACGTGACGCAAGCAGGGTCAGCCTTGTCCCAGCAGTGTGCCTGCAGAAGGATGCTGCCCTGCTCCAGGGCAACGTGGAGCTTCCAAATCCCTTCCAAATCTCAAAAGCTGCAGCACCTACCTACCTGCTCAGCCCCAACATGCTGCCTCCTCTCTGCTGCTCTTTGCCTGCCTGCTGTCTAGCCCCAGGCTACAGCACCAGGTCACAAGGGGCAGCTCAGGGACCTTCTGGAGTTCACTTTACCCTGCACTCTTACAGACAGTCCATTTTGAATTAATTATCACAGCCCTCCCCACCACTAACAGCCCTGAGCAGAGGAAGAGAGTGGCAACAGGGGCATTCAGCTGTTTGGAGGCTATTTTTCCCCCTGAAAATGAGTTAAAATGGTTAATCTTTGCCCTACATTTTTCTTTTAATCTGCTTTTGTGTTGACTCTAATCCTCATCACTGCCATCCTTCTGAAACAGAATGCTTGGCTCAGGCTGCTCTGCCCGTCTGTCTTGGAAAACAAATCTAGTGAGAAGGCAGAAGTACCTGAGAATGTAATGCAGTTTCTGGAAAGTGTTCAGCACTCTCAACTGCCCTGGTGGGAATCAATGGCCATTGTGCTATTTTTCTGAAGCTAAAATAATAGGTTTGGAGTCTCAGATATATTTCAAATGAAAGCCAAAGCAGTTGCCTATTTCCAAAGACATCATCCTGCTGAGCAAGTGCAGGAATGATGCACAGCCTGGGGTCCCAGATTCTGTGCTGGAGCCAGGCAGCTGGTACTGATTTGCTTCAGTACCATCCTCATGACTCCTGAGGGGCAGCTGAGAACCACCTCTGTGGCAGGGAGAGCCTTTCCCACAGGGAAAGGCTCAGAGAGATCAGGGGGATAGTGAAAATGTTGGAAACAACAGTGCCAGGGCAGCAGGCAAGGCTCCACAGGGCCACAGTGGGGAAAAATTGACTTATAGACTCTACTCTCCTCCTGCAAACAGCCCCCCAGATAATGACACTCACATGTCAGCAAAGTCTGCTTAAAACTACCCAGGGGTTGCCCCCATCACTCCTGGCAGAATCACAGCCTCACCCAGGAGGACAGGACCATGGTCAGATACAGCTGTCCTTGGGTCATACTGGGAAGAGGAGATCACCCTTGCAGCGGGCTCATTTCAGCCCGCGGGGACAGACTCCCCAAGTTTGATTTGGACAGGAGACCCCCACTGTTTTGCCTGCCTGAAGAGGCCATAGATGAAACCATTAAAACAATGAAACAGAACAGCAAAAGCTCAGAAAGGATAGGGAAAAAGAGCCAATTTTATCAGTGCAGACATTTCTTTGTTTCTCAGGAACCTGGGAGAATGAGAGCCTGGAAGACAAGGAGTAATTAGCTATGGCTGAATTATTGATGACAGCAGCAGCACAAGTTGGAATGAGTTTCAGTGGTGGCAGAAGGCTGGGCACCCGTCACTGCTGCAGGGGTGGCTGGAGGGGAGTGTGACACTGCCGCAGCACAGTGGGGGATAGCTGTGCACCCCAGAGCCACAGCCAGGCAGGGCCCTGAGCCTGTGCTGCAGCCTGGCCCTCGCCTTCTCTGCATCTTGCCGAGCACCTGTGTGAGCAGCCTGGCGTGCTTTCCTGCTTTCATGGAGCTTTCCTGCCCAAGGTGCTCCATGAGCAGTGAGCTCCCACACGCTGTGGCCACCCCATCGCTCACCTGAGCAGTGCTTCTGCAACCGGAGGATCTCCAGGTGCAGGTCATGGAGCAGCTCCATCTGCTCCTTCTTCAGGAAAGTGATGTGCCGCTGCACGCTCTGGATCTGGTGCTCCAGGGACACGGTCTCCATCGCAACCAAATTCACGGTCCAGGCCTGCAGGGAGTGGAGATGGCTGGTGATCAAACGTGCAGCAGTGTGCTGGGCTTGCAAGCCCCAGCCCGTTGTGAAGGGCAGAGCCTGTGGTGGAGGGTGGTGCCTTCTCTCCTCGACCCTCTCCATGGGTACTGTGGCTGTGGGCAAAGCAGCCCTGCTCAGCTGATCCCCAGGGAATGGCATCAGCCCTCTCACCTTCCAGTGCCTCTGAGGCCGGCTCCTGTCCTGCCTGCTCTGAGACTGCACAGGCAGAAAATCTTGCTGCATGAACCCTGGCATCATAGCATGCATGTCTGTTCTGAATCTGGCCCTAGGAAATATTTTATCACTGAGTAGGATGCATCTGGGACAGGATTTCTCCCCGTCGTTCCCAGGTGGGAGGTGTACCAGAGACGATTTTGGCTCTCACTTGACAAGCCCCACATTACACAGCAGCAACTGCAGCGAGCGATCCAGCACATGAAAAATACAATATGCCCTGTCTAACCCGATCAGCACTGCATGGTTAGGAGAGTCATGTTGTCTTCCAGGAGGAGGAACATCTTCCCTGGTAATTTGCCTGGCAGCCGAGCTGGGCTAGGGGTCCATGCCCACGTCATCAATGGCCTTGGCAAGGCAGCTGCAAAAGCTGCCCACCTGTGCTGCTGCACAGAGAGATAAAAATAACCCCTGAAAGAGCCCTTTATCCCAGGAATCTGTCCTTGCTCCCTACACACAGCTCAGGAGGGCAGCTGCAGCAAATCAAGGTAACCTGGCAGTGCTGGGTGAGTGGCTGGACTCAATGACCTGAGAGGTCTTTCCAATCTAAATGATTTTGTGGGGAGATGCTGTGCCACAAGCCTGTCCCTCGGTAGCTGCTTCCCACATCTGACTTGAGTTTTCTCTGTACAGAAACTGCAGAACCAAAGAAGCACTGTGGCTCACTGTTCCAGCCCCCCTGGCATGATCACACAGGGCATTTTGCAATTCCTGCAACCAGAATGTGTTTAAAATCAATGCCACAGTAAGTGGTCTTGGCAGTGCCCCAAGGTCAAAGCTTTGTTCCTGCCCAGGGCTCTGCAGATTTGTGACAACGTCTCCACGGGGGGGCAGGCTGGTTGGGAACAGCTGAGCACCCAACTTGCTGGTAAGGAAATGATCCCAAGTGCATTGTCCTGTAGTTGTACTTATGGAAGGTGTAAAATCCAGCAGTGCCAGAGGGCTGGGGCTGGCCAGGCCATCCTCTTTGGAGGGCCATATGTCCTGGTGCCAGTGCAAGAGTTCTTGGAGTTACCTGGTGTCTGCCAGAGACCAGAAATGCAAACCACACCACAGGTACATCTTCCTGCCAGCCCTGGCTGTGATGGGCTGAACTTCTTGATAGGAGTTGTGGTACCTCATCTCAGGAAACACCAGAAAGTAGGTTGGCCAAAGCCCAGGGGACATGTACTACTATTTTCAAGTACTCTGTTCTGTCTAGTGAAATGTCTTTAGTAGAAATGGCTGCAAATTTTCTTTTGAACTTTCCCTTCTCCCCTTAAGTAGGAAATGGCTCTTTTTTTTAACCAATGAAAATGTTTTCCTTTAAAAATAGTTGATAGATTTCAAGCCTCAAAGAAAGTCAAAGAAAAAAAAATCTGGAACTGAGATCTGTTTGCTGTCTCTGATTTGGAAGCAAAGAGTCTTCATAATTTTCCTGTGTATGCGGAAAAAGGAGCCTGTCTCCAGAATTGAAACAGGAAATCCTTAGTGGGTTTGAATCAGCTTTGCCTGTCCAACTTTTACAAGCTCTCAGCTTGTGGCAGGAACATCTGAAGTCCCACATGAGGGAGTGAGCACCATGTTCTGTTTAGCCATGAACCTCTCACCAGTACTAAGGGCATGGAGGGAGGCAGGAGTGGTACACAGAGACAAGTAGGGCAGGAGCTGTCTTCATTGGAAATGAGGACAATGCTGGAAACAGCCATGCTGTTGCCCAAGAACACTGATGGGAAGAGCTCTCCAGGGGTCCCGGGGACTCAAGGCTGCTGCTGTTCACCATTTGCAGCCCCATGGGAGGCCCATGTCGTCCCCTCTGCAGGTCACACAGCATTGCCTCATGGGTGATGATGCAAGAGCCAGAGCTGTTAAGGAAGATGCAATCTCATCCTGAGGCTTTGGGAGCATCAGTATTGGAGTGTCTCTGACTTCACTGGAGGGCTGTTAGATGAGCGTTTGCCACCAAGGTGGTGTCCACCTGTTACCCAAAGGGGTTCAGAACCAAACTCTCAACAGCTGGTATCCTCCCTTCATTGCTCCTGAAGGCAAGTGGGATGGCAGCAGCATCCTGAGCCTTTGGTTTGATGTGTGCCTTCTGTCATTTCACACAGTTTGATCCTTGGGCAGTGTTGGGAGTTAATAAGGATTAGCTGCAGCTGCTGGCTGATTTAACACGTACAGGGTCACCACAGCTCCCAGCTGGTAACACCAAAACTCCCTGTGCCGAGGGCTTCAGAACACCCACAGTGGTGATGACCAAAAGTCTGTGCAGTGAACCATGGCAGGAACTTTCACCCTGTGCCACAGACACGAGAGCCAAAGCATGGTGACCGGTGCTGTCCTTCCCACCAGCTGCTCCTGCCCCAGTTGGGTGAGTGTGGCTCCCAAAAGGATGGTTGTAGTGCAGCAAATAGGGACATAGTTGGGTGCCCCCACTCTGATCCCTCCCTTGCTGCTGTAGCTGTTACTTCTCCTGTCCAGACTGGTTCTAAGACACCAAGACAACTGGTGGTGGAGGCTCTCACAGTAACCGTGTACTCAGTGATTTTGAAGAGTTACAATTGAGGTTACAAGCCTGGAAAAAAATGTTATTCATAATAAAAGCCAAGAGTAAGTGATAGTAGTCCTCTTTAGCTTGAAGGATGCTCTGTGCCCTGTGCTTCTGAGAGTTGTACATGTGCACACACAGCAGCAAAAGAGACAGCAGTCAGCTGAGCAGTGTGGTTTGCCCCTATTCAGAGGTGACACCTACAGCCGGAGCTGGCCCCTGCTCCCTGCAGAGCTCTGGCTAAACCGTTCTCTCCAGTTTTGGAGACTGGACATCCACGAGTCTTTGCTTCACCACCAAGAGGTTTCAGGAACAAGGTTCCCTTGCTGATCCTCCAAGATTTTGAAGACAGAACTGGGCTCAGTCCCCTCCAGTTCCCCACATGGAGTGACCGTGGGCATGGTCACAACTGCTGAGCCTTCCTGTGCTGCTGCCTCTAAACCACATTTTTTTCCACACTCCTTGTCCTTTCACTATGCATCCATGACTTTTGACACAAGCATATTGGGAGCCCTGATCTCAGCTGCTTGGTTCAAAGTGCTGGTGGAAAACCCCAGTGAGATTTACAACTTCATCAAATTTATAAAGTTCTTATTTCACAAACCAAAATGACTGAAGCAGCCTCTTGGAGCAGCTACAATGACCAATTCAATTGCAAGTCTACAAAGAGCTGATTTCCTTTGCACAGGCAGGTTGATTGAGAATTTGCTTCCAGGACAAAACTCTGCTTAAGTCTGCTGTTCAATGTAAATCAGAACCCCAAAACTTTGATCCAAGAAAAACCCTCAATCCCAATGATGCATCTGAAAGGGAGACACAGTATTGCATATCCACGGTCCTCTCTACACACACCGTCACACCATGGTCTGGCCCTTATCTGTGTTATTATTATTCCTCATAAATGGCAAATTAGCTGGGAGTCGGAGGGCATGAGGTTTGAGGGAACAGGTCGATAATTTGTTCTGCTGTGGCTGCCACCAACCCCTTCTCCATCACGTTAAAACATACGCAGGAATAAACATTGATATGCGCTAGAAATCCATAGTGCTTGGTATTTACAGCTCTAAGAATATAAACTGTAACAATGCCGCTAAGCCAGTGTATCTTTAAATGTAGGGAAATCAGGCAAGCAGGAAGCTCAGAAACTTGCAGAAGGTCACAGAGGCAGTGGCGATGCCAGGAATGAAAACCAGAGGTGAAATCCCGGCCTTGGAAAAGCCAGTGGGAAACCTTCCCTGATCTCAGCAGAAGCAGAATTACACTTGGAGTACTGTTTGCTATTCATTATCTGTCAGTGTCTATTTACAGATAAAATCGATACAGATGATGATTATAAATTATTGTGTTTCTCACAATTCTTTAAGCACAACCGCCTGAGGAACAGCCCCAGTGAGGCTTGTCAGGGGGCTGTGGATGCTGAAGGCAAGGCCGTGCTCTCTCCTCCCGGCTCCAAGGAATTCGCTATGGATCCAGCTCTGCTCCGGGAGCGGAACCGGGCCATCACCGCCGCTCCGGGCCAGCCCTCCTCCCCGGCGGGGGAGCCCGCGGTGCAGCCCGCACGCTGGGGCTTGGCGGCGGCGCTGCCCGGTCCCGGCGCCGCGCTCCGCAGCAGCCGGCGCGGGCGGCAGAGCCCGGCAGGGCTCAGGGGCCGCGGGGACACCCCGCCGGCGGGGCGGGCACGGGCGCTGCGGCGGGGGAGCGTTCCGGGAGAAGCAACTTCTAGAACCGGCACCGCGGGGCTGCGGGCAACTTCTGCGGGGCAGTGCCCTCAGCCCTGGGACCCCGCCCGCCCCGCGGCCCGGCCCTCGCCCCCGGCCCCGCGGCCGCTGCCTTACCTGGGGGGAGCGGCGGGGCCCCAAGGGGCGCCCGCTGGGCGTCATGGGCGCCGGGCCGGGGCCGGGGCCGCGCCGGCTCCCGCGCTGCCCGCGCTGCCTGCGGCGGCCCCGCCTCGCCCGGCCCGGCCCCGCCGCCCGTAAACAGCGGCAACGTGACCGGAACTGGGGAGCTCCGCCGGGCCGGGCGGCGGCGGCCGCGGGGAGACACCCCCGCCCCGGACCCTCTGCCCCGGGCCCGGGCCGCACCCAGCCGCTGCCGGGGTAGCCGCATCGGGAGACCCGCGGTGAAGCGGGGCTCAGCTCCCGGGGACCCTCGGGGCCCCGCTCCCGCTCCCCTAGACTCTCTCTGCAGCTGGGTCCCGCTTCTCGGGGGTCTCGGTGGGGCCGGGGCTCCGCTCCCAGGGACCGTCGCGCCCCCGCTTTCCCTCCCCGGGGAGCCTCGGGCCGCCGCTCCCCGCCGCTGTCCGCGGTGCTGAAGCCCGAGACCGAAGCTGCCCCGGAGGGTCCCGCTCCTGAGCCGCCCGCTCAGCCCCGGGCGCGGGGACCCCCGAGCAGCCCCAGGGGGCCAGAGAGGGGGACTCTGTGTCTGTGGGGAAGGCAGCTGCGTGTGTCCGTGTGTCCCTGCGGAGGCTTCAGAGTCACCGCCACTCGGGGGATGCGAAATCAAAGGGGGGCCGGTACCGGCTGCAGCCGGGAAACGGGTCAATCAAACCAGCGAGCCTTTGGTCAGAGAGATGGTAACAGAGATGATAAAAAAAAACTCGTTTACTCAAGAGGATACTGGTTTTTCATGCCTTTTGTTTATGGTGCCCAGACCAGCTGGGGCTTTACATTCAAGGATGACTCAATCCTTTGCGCCTCTGTTTCGGCAGGGAGGCTGGGATGCGGTGGCCTGTTCCATGCTGCACGGCGGTGACTGCACAGGAAAATGGTAGCGTCCTCCCCGTCAGCTGACAGTCTGCTGATTCCCATTCCCTTAATCCCAAATGTGCCTAGAGAGTGCAGTGGTGCACTCTGATGCTGAATTGTGCTGCCGGCTCCCCGTTAAAACTGCGGCATTCCTGCTTATCCCGGTGTACAACCAGCACACAGAGGAGCTGTAGGGGAGCTCACGGAGTATGGTCTGTGGTATCATTCTGCCATCCCACATCCTTCCCTCTCCTTGAATGCTTCCAGGCTCTGAGTGAGTTTGTGCTCGGATTACAACAGTGCTCCGCAGATCCAGCAAGGGTGTGCTGTGGCCAATAAGCTGCCCCATGCCTGCAGCATACTCCAGGTATGATACCAAAGGTTTGTGATATCTCTGCACAGTAACAGCCAAGGACTGCACCCTCACCTGATGCACAGTGGTGGGGTCCAGCCTGGCCTGTAGTTTCTGGTAGCAGAGAAAGGCTGGGCTTGGTGTTAGGGCTCATCTATGGAGACTAAGTTTAGTTCACATGAAGAAAGAAATTATTTAACCAGGAGAAAAGATGACCAGTGAGGTCTGAAGGTCTGTACATGCACGCCCAAGAAATTTGTTTGCAATAAGTTATCCAGACATCTCCTTGCAGCCCCAGACAGTGCAATGGAGAACTTCAGGGCCTCCCAATGCTCCCTCGGGCATGCCAAGTCCCATGTGGGCCTCCTCTCAACTTCTGTTCTCTGAAAAATGAGTTCTTCTTGAAACAAGAAGTTGTTATGAGGTCACAGATGCCTGTGTGGAGGGGGAGAGCGCAATCTTTCTTGTTCAGAGCAGCACTGTCTTGTGTGGAGCCCCTCTCACCCATTTGTGGCCCTCAGACCAATGCTTGCCAAGGTGTCACTTGTACCTCTCAGGACAGTGTGCCGTGTTTAGGGTGTGTGGATGTTTTTAATGTCTCCTTGTGTCTTCCCCTAACTTGTGTGCTAACTTGAGTAGCAGTGAGCTATAGGCGGGAGGTGGGGGGCGGAGAGAGGGGGAATGTCTTAGTGCATCATGTTTTACAAGGTTTGTACAATTTTCATTGATTTTCCACTGGATAAAAGACAAGCCTGCAAACAGTCAAGGTCAGGCACTCGGGGACAGAGAGCTGCTCTGTAAATGAGGTCATCGCTCCAGGATGCAGCCTGCCGGGAGGGACAGCAGCAGAGCGCCGCGCATCCTCTGCACCCAGCAGGGCACAGGAAATGTCGGCTGCCTCCACAGCGATCACCTGGCAGCCTGGGGTCACTCTGCTGCACATAGGCCGCTCTTTGCCATCACCAGTTCCACAATTAACTGGTTACACTGGCAGCTTTCTTGAGCAGGACATAACGTGGCAGTCCCTTTGCTGGTGCTTCCAGCCACTGTGATGTCCTGCCCTGAATTTATGCTGCAACCCTTTCCCGCTCCCTGCTTGCTCCGAGAGACAGGAGCTCCTTCTCAAACGAGTCTGAGACCCTTCTCAAACGAGCCTCTACAATATAGTGAGGCAAAAATGGCAGGAATACCAATTCAGGAGGAATTGGAGGGTCCCTGCTGCAGCCTCAGACGTATTACTGAGCTCCAGAGACTGTTGGGCAGAGGCTGGCAGCTCTTTGCCTATTCTACCCCTGCTGGGAGACATCTCAGTGCCGTGTGCCTCAGCGAGAGCGCTGGCAGCCCCTGCTCCGGTGCCCCACGGGACAGCGGATGTGGGGAGACCCACCAGGTGCCTCAGCTCCTGGTTCTGCTGCAGCTACGTGGCTTTCCCCCTGGTTCGAGGCTGGTGGAGACTGTGGGGATGCAGGATGGGGAATGTGGGGACGTGAGGATGTAGGTATGGAGTGTGCGGGATGCGGAGACGTGGGATGAGAGATGCGGGAAGCAGACACTGCGGATGGGGCTGAGGGCGGCAGCTCTTCCGAGCGGGGCTGGGCTCCGGCGCTGCCGCTGCTGCTCCGCGCCGGCACTGACCTCTAGTGGCACCGGCCCCGGCCCCGGCGCCAGTGCGGACAGAGGTACCGCCTGCGGTAAGGATAAACGGTACCGGAACCGGCACCGGTACAGGCAGCGCCCGCGTGTGGGTGTGTGCGTGTCTGTGTGTGTCTGTGTGTCTGTGTGTCTGTCTGTGTGTCTGTCTGTCTGTGTCTGTGTGTGTCTGTGTCTGTCTGTCTGTGTGTCTGTCTGTCTGTGTCTGTGTGTGTCTGTGTCTGTCTGTCTGTGTGTCTGTCTGTCTGTGTCTGTGTGTGTCTGTGTCTGTCTGTCTGTGTGTCTGTCTGTCTGTGTCTGTGTGTGTCTGTGTCTGTCTGTCTGTGTGTCTGTCTGTCTGTGTCTGTGTGTGTCTGTGTCTGTCTGTCTGTGTGTCTGTCTGTCTGTGTCTGTGTGTGTCTGTGTCTGTCTGTCTGTGTGTCTGTCTGTCTGTGTCTGTGTGTGTCTGTGTCTGTCTGTCTGTGTGTCTGTCTGTCTGTGTCTGTGTGTGTCTGTGTCTGTCTGTCTGTGTGTCTGTCTGTCTGTGTCTGTGTGTGTCTGTGTCTGTCTGTCTGTGTGTCTGTCTGTCTGTGTCTGTGTGTGTCTGTGTCTGTCTGTCTGTGTGTCTGTCTGTCTGTGTCTGTGTGTGTCTGTGTCTGTCTGTCTGTGTGTCTGTCTGTCTGTGTCTGTGTGTGTCTGTGTCTGTCTGTCTGTGTGTCTGTCTGTCTGTGTCTGTGTGTGTCTGTGTCTGTCTGTCTGTGTGTCTGTCTGTCTGTGTCTGTGTGTGTCTGTGTCTGTCTGTCTGTGTGTCTGTCTGTCTGTGTCTGTGTGTGTCTGTGTCTGTCTGTCTGTGTGTCTGTCTGTCTGTGTCTGTGTGTGTCTGTGTCTGTCTGTCTGTGTGTCTGTCTGTCTGTGTCTGTGTGTGTCTGTGTCTGTCTGTCTGTGTGTCTGTGTGTGTCTGTGTGCCGTGCCAGGCTCTGCAGGTGCTGTGCCCGTGCTGTCCCCCCCGCAGCCGGGGCTGGGCAGGCGGGAGGTGCCCGGGAAGGGCTGGGCAGGGCCGGGTCCGTTCAGTGGTGATTGATTCCTGACCAAACAGCCGATTCCCAATGGGAGCTGCATTCTGTGTGCCCTGGAGTTAACCTGAGTCATGTACCCTTCCAGGGTGTCTATGAAGTGCTTTGACACCAGAGCTTTTTCCCCCCACCCCTGGGCTAATTATTAGAGGGATTTTTGAATTTAATTTATAAACGAGTTTAACTTTGCCTCAGATATTATTTTTCAACCTAATTGAAATGTAGTGTGTGTGTGTCTTCTAATTGCTTTGAAGAACCTAATAAGAAGCTCCTTAAAGTCTAAAGGCTAAAAGCTGGAGGGTTTTAATAAATTTAACATTAGCTTAACATTTCCACAGGGATTGGAAAATATCTACTCATAAGGATATTTGCTTGAGCTAAGCAATGCAATTTGCTCCTCTGCATTATGTGTATGTGATATGGGAACAGTCCGATTTTTAAAATGGTCTAAGAACTTTTTTTCAATGAAAGTTGCTTTTATTTTTAAATCTCCCAGGTCTGTAAAAATGGCTGTGCTGAAGCAGGTGTGGGTCAGCTCCGGGGTTCCAGGGACAGGAGGGCGAGTTTCAGCCTCTCCTCTGCTCCCTCCTGGCCTCTCTCTCATCCCTCAAGTCCATCCTGTCGCTGCTTCTCTGCCCATGACCTGCAGCTGGTGCAGGAGCTGGAGAGAAGCTGAGGCTGGGCTCGGTGCCAGTGAGGGGCCATCAGGGCTCTGCTCAGGGCAGTGGGAGTGGTGGGAGCGGTGGGATCAGCTCGGCCATCCCTGTGAACTCTCTCTCCCCTTCCAAGCGTGGGGTCCATTTCAGCTCCCGGGCTCTGCCCTGTCTTGCTGACCCAGAGCTGCCTGACCAAAACTGCGATGCACCAGTGGCTTCCTGGCCACCGTTTGGGCTGGCACGCCCGTGAGGGCCAAGTGCTGGCCTCCCGTGGGGGATCCCATCTGCCAGCTGCCCACCTGGCACGTGGACATGTTCTCTCTGGGCAGGTTGTTCTCTCCAACCTTCAGCCCATAACTTGTAGGAGATGGCAGCCCCACTGGACAGCAGGTCACTGCCCAGATTTGGGAGACCCTTATGCCAATT